ACATATACATTTTATATTTATTATATATATAATATAATATATAATGTATATATAATTTAATAAAATAGTGTCTAGTATGTCAATTTTATATAATAATAATATAAATAATATAATAAATGTTGTATATACAATTAAAATATAAGTAGTATGTATATAATAATAATAATAATAATAATAATAATAATAATAATATATATAATATACAGTAAAAAGTAACAACTCTACTAAAATCAACATCGTGGTCCGGCACTATATAAAGGCGTTTGGATGATGGAGTCATAAAGCATGACCTGGCACATTTTATAGCCTGTGTGAGCATAAAAGAGCAAGCATTCTAGATTCCCGCACATGCTGGAGGTGATGTCATTAGCGGTTAGCATCAGTACTTCCTCACTCAGAAAACCTTTATTTCTCCCTCTGTGACCTTTTCCCTTTTGACACGTTTCCTTCAGCAGCGCCATCGTCTCCGCAAACCATTTATTACCATCTCCTCCATCTCCTCCTCTTTCATTATGAGCTGTGTAATCTAAATGCTTAATCTCGTTTCTTTCTTCACTTCCTGTGTATCTGTCAGTATCCGATCGATAGATTACAGGAATCTACCTCTGCACTGGCTCGACCGCTTGTATTTGCATTAGGGGTTTCTGAGGTCACAGTACTTATAATAACAGGGTTTGGCTTAGTTCGGTTAATTACGTTTGAAAAGCATGAAATGTGAGAGGAAGCAGTAAGTCAGAGACAGGTCTCGTGGAAAAACACATTTGGGAAAAGCTAAAGAAAATGATGCCATTATTTGATGCAACATGTTTTTTATGGTAAAATCTTAGCAAACCATATTGGAGATTTGTTCTTGCCCGAAAGATGCTGAGTTGGCCACAGAGTGAATCGACTTCCTTTTTCCTTGAGTGTATTGAATCTCAGCTGCCTAAAGACATTTAACTTAACCGAATCAGCCTCTAATGGATGTTTTGTAAGATGACACTAAACCAAAGTAGCCTTCAAATTGAATTTACTATAGGTAACTGCTGCTTATTTCCTCATTATTACTATTACCATATCTCATAGTTAGGATTATTGATTTGAACACACCCCTAATTTATTATTAAGTACGCATTATTAAGTACGCATATTATTAAGTATGCATGCAAGAATGCAATTTCAGATCTTTTATCCATTGCTTTCAAGGTATTTTATCATTACATGTATTATCTGGGAATTGAACCCATGACCTTGACGTTGCAAGTGCCATGCTTTACTAGAAATCTACTACTACATACATGAACACACTTTTTTCAGACATTTGTGCTATGGACACAAGCTGTGTGGCAATGAAGAGATTGTGCTGCACTTTTATGTGTCAGAATTAGGTTTAAGATACAAGACAATAGATCCACTTGAACACACTCAGAATAAAAATAATAAAAAATAAGATTAAAATATATATATAAGTAAAAATTTGATTTAAATACATAAAAATGAAGAAGTGTCTTTCTACAAGAAAATATATAAATCCCTTTAAAATTTTAGGATTGGGGTCCCTTGCACAAAGATCATCTTTGGGGCCGTTCACACAGAACGAGTCTTTGCATCAACCTATAGCAAAACAAAGGGAAAGTAGTGCATTAGAATGGAAAAACGTGTTCTGTGTGAACGGCCCCTTATAAAACATTTAGAACACCTTAAAATGTCTTCAAAAAACCATCAGAGCACCTTAGAAATGCCAAAGAAATCCCTCAGAACACCTCTGCAATGTAATACAAAAAGTATAGTTTTCTCAAACATCTCAAACATCATGGCATTGAGTTGTGCATAGGCAAGCACTTCGTAAACTTTCTTCAAAAAAGGAAAAAAAAAATGGTTCATTATGTGTTGTTTGGCACTCTAGAAGAAATGAAATGCTTGTGTGCTGTATGTACTTTGTTGTAAATCCTGTCTAACAAAACATGGCGAGTTTTCACTTGCGTATGAGGAAAACAGTGCTTCAACCGCATTAGATGCCAGTTGTGGATTTGTGGAGAAGTGTGTTTTCTTTGTTGCCGTTGTGACTCATTCTTCCGCTGATCTTCCTATCCTTGTCATTCAGATGAAGCTGACATTTCACGTTGACATTTTTTTTCTGTGCTATCATTCAATGACAAATAACCAAGTTGCTCAGCTAATGGTGGAGATAGAGGAGAGAGGGTCATATTGTTACCAGCTTCTTTGGATTTGCAGTGAAACAGCTGTAATAGAGAGAGTAAATATCTGAAATCAGTGCTCTGAAAGCACTGGACTATTTGTGGGTGTTTTAAGGTTTACTCAGCACTGAAAGAAGTTATGATTGCGTTCATGCATGCCATTACTTTGGTCTCAGTCAGTGTTTCTTAGTGCTTTTTACCCAGCTTGTTGAGATGTAGGTGCTAAAAGACCCTAAAGCTTTTAGTGTGAATATGTGCATGTGTATATTAGAAAAGCCAGTCAATTCATTGTGTATTCGCTCATAGGTGGGTGTGTTTTTGCTTATGTGGGCATCCATTATCTTTTATCTTAGGTCTGAACTCGGAAACATACTCTAAGTTAATGCTTCTGACTATACTTAATATGATGCATCATTGTTCCCGCAAGTTCAGACAGCAGTGTATAACATTATTCCAAAATTCAGCTATTATATATAATTAATTTCAGGTTGCAGAGTTATTTTTGTGTCTTGGTTAACAACAACAACAATATTTATTTTTTCCTTTATCTTTTTTTTTTTGTTGAGTCTCAAACATTTTTCATTTGTGTTTTCTTGATGAACATCTTTTCACATTTTTTGTCTGTTTCCACTGGAATAACTGTTCTTGTAATTTCCAAAAGGGGCTATAATATATTCACTTATTTGTGTAAATATGCAATACTCTTAAGCTATGATAAATTAACATGAAAAATGACAAGATTATCCAAATAAGTTTTTAAAAAAAAAAAACAACAACTAATAAATGAATACAATTATTTTCTCCTATTTTTTTCTGGCTTTATTTTATTTTATTTTATTTTATTTTCAACTCCTGGACAGTTGTTGTCATTCCTTTTTTAATTTAATTAATTAATTATTTATTTATTTATTACTCCTTTTTGCTTCCTTGTCAGCTCTCACATAGCCAGAAAGAACAAGCACTGTCATTCCTGTTTTTATTTATTTAATTTAATTTAATTAATTTAGTTTTTTTAAAACATTTTTTAATTTTTATTTCTTGTATTTAAATGCTACAATAAAAAATATTGTTTTGTTGAAAGTGAATTGTGACCATGACATTCAGTGAATAACATGTACATTTCAGTCTGTTCCTCAAACAAAGCTATCATATGACTTTGCACAGAACTTTTATGCACTACTGTTATGTCAGTGTCAAGTTTATTTACATTGCGCAATTTAAAACAACAGCATATTTTATGTGTTTCATGACAGAAAGAAAGTCATACAGGTTTGGAACAACATGAGGGTGTTCCAAACCTGTTCCAAAATGATGACAGAAGTTTCATCCCTATAAGTACGTACAACAAGATGCACATTTGCAGTGCAGTCTGTGTTTGTGTACTTGTGTACAGAAGGTTCCTGGCCTAAGACAGCATATTCTTACCTTCCACTCTCTATCCATCTCTCTTCTGCTAAATCTCATTGTGTTAAGAGATTTATAGGAGCTGCAGGCAGATATACAGCTCTGATTTGCGGACGTTTGATCGCTTCATTCGGGTTTGGCCCAGTTAGTAAGTGTTGTTGCTGCTTTGGGAGGCACTTCTGTCAGAACCAGGCTTTCTTTATCATTCGGCTCCTTAAACATCCACACTTACCTGCCAACAGCCGAGCAGCCCATTGCCAGAGAGAGAGAAAGAGAGGATGAGAGTTTGGAAGGGTAGTGATTAAAGTCAAGATGAATCCAAATTGAGCCTGTTTACTTTCTTAAAGTGACAGTTACCTCAAAATAAAGATCCTTTCATCATGTACTCATGCAAATGTGCTGTTCTTCTTCCTCCTGGGACATTCAAGGTCACAAGGTCACAGTCCAAACAAAAACATTTATATTAATTGTTCAATATAAAATCACTGTCAAATGCTAATACCGGTAAGTCATAAAAGTCCTGCTGCGTGTCTGAAAATACTTTTTTTGTCCATCTGTTTTGATTGAATGCCTTTGACTTCTTTTAATTTATAATATCTTTGATGTTATGACACACGATTAATGATAACAGTGTCATGCTATTTATTTGCCGAATCCCAAATATAATACCTTTTATTAAGCACAATAATTGCATTAAGCACAATAATTGCATTAAGCACTGCACTGTTTCCGTTAACCCTAAAACACAATGCAATGAAGTGCAAAATTTTAAATACAGGTAAAACACCTGTAAAATGTTATTACAGTACATTGTGGTGTATTTTACATATTTTATTTTCAGTGTGATGGTGAAAAACAAACTTTTAACCAGTACATTTTATTTAATTTTATTTTATTTTCACCTGGTCAACCCCTGGACAGTTGGTGTCATTCCATTTTTATTTCATTTAATTTCATTCCTTTTTTCTTTATTCACTCCTTATTGCTGCCTAGTCAACTCTTGCACAGTTGGAAAGAACAAGCACTGCCATTCCAGTAATTGAATTGAATTTTTTATCGTTTTTTTATTTTAATGGTTTATTTTATCCTTCACAAAAAGTGAAATTTTCAACATTTTCCTGTCTAATCTGGTCAGTATAGGCTAATCTCTGGTCCTTTTAAGCTGCTTTAAAAACACTTGTATTAATTGTTTATTTTTTATTTTATTTTATTTTATTTACACTGTCATTCTATTCTATTCCATTCCATTCTATTCTATTCTATTCTATTCTATTCTATTCTATTCTATTCTATTCTGTGCTGTTCTGTTCTGTTGCCACACACTATATAGGACAGATAGTATGTGAATTGGGATTTAGCCATCGTGTGATGGTAATCATTACAAATTTGCTGTTAACCAGTGCTCTCTATGTCTAACAGGATGATGCACTGGGCAGGTCGCATAGAGAAGGAACTGGAGAAGGTGCTGCAGCTCGTCACTGGAGTCCAGCAAATGAAAGGAGTAAGTTGAACATCTTTAACTTGTTTTACACCGTACTGCAATGCTAGATGGAAAAATATTGTGTTGTTTTTAGGGCAAAGGCGTCTCTCTTCACTACATCAGTGTGGAATCGACCATAATAATCACACTGTATTATTTACCTTTGTTGTGATGCCTTAGGAAGAAGCTTTAACTTGTTTATGATGTTATGATAACAGTGGTTGCATAAGATAATTACAGTAATAGCAGTGTTTTTTGTGGTCGTTTCAATAGTGAAATTTCATAACAATCATTTTCTGTTGATAGCGGTCAGAGTCTTGAGCACTAAACAATAATTTCACAATAGATTCTGAAAGCCTGAAGTACTATATATTTTGTATTGTGTACAGTATTTCACATGTATGTTTCATATGTTAAATGATAATTCTGTATCATTTGTTGAATTGTGTGAAATAATCTGTTAATATTTAAATAGTCTGAGGCCATAAAAATGCAGTTTTTAATACTTTTTAAAAAATAAAAAATTAGATTATAGGTGTAACAATTTGAGTGAAAATCTGAAATTAAAATAATAATCTAAAACTCTATAATATTGAATAGTTGAATCATTTTCACCATCTCAAATTCTATTATTATTATTATTATTATTATTATTATATTTGTATATTAATATATTAGAATAATAAAACAAATAAAACATTATTATTATTATTATTATTATATTTGTATATTAATATATTAGAATAATAAAACATAATAAATAAAAAATATATATAAAATGCTGTAATATAATACCAAATTTATATTTCTATATATACACTTGAATATATAAATATATATATAGTATATAAATATACAATTTATTATTATATTATATTATATTCAGAAATATTTTATTTTTAATATTTTATCACACACACACGCACCCATACACACACACAAGTTATTTGCCAAGGCAAAATTATTTTTTATTTGTCCATTCGTATGTGTGTGTGTGTGTGTCTTTTAGAAAATCAGTTTGGGACACTGAATGCATGCAAGCCTGTGTTTGCACTCTCAGTAGCTGTAGATTGCTGAGTCTGTGGTCTGAGTGTGTGTGTGCAGTGAGTCTGTGAAAGCGCATTTATCTCTGGCCCAAACAGGAGTCGTCACAGGGAGTGCTAAATGGCCCAGCATGTGCAGAAAAAGCCATTTTCTAAATGGATGCCTCTCCCTATATGTGCATGTGATAGAAATCTTCCCTGGGCTACGGCAGCCCGCTAACAAGATTGCTTTCCTTCATCACTCTCTCTTTCCTCTTCATGCCCAGTTTACTCCGATATTCTTTTCCCACCCTTTCTGGGAAAAAAAAAATTTTGCAAATGTATTCTAAGCATTTTTTTGCTTCTCAAAATTATTTTGGTGAAAGTAAATAGAACGGACTGGCTGCATTCAGCGCGCAACAATCTTGAATACATATTGCTTGAAAAACTGCAAGCAGGTGAGTTGGAAATATTTGGAATGGAGAGAAGGAGAGAAATAGAGAGAGAACGAATCAGAAAGATCACTATCTTAATAGTGTATGGTGTTTAGTATGTTTGGTATACACATATAATAGTGTATGGTGTTTGGTATAAGATGTATGGTGTGGTGCACACACACACACACATACAAATGGTGTTTCTCACCTGTACTCAAGATCTGTGAAGAGGATGTATGCAAAGTCTTCAGAAAGCAGAAGATAAGGAAAGCCAAAGGCCCAGACGGTGTCTCTCCAGCCTGCCTCAAAGCCTGTGCTGTCCAGCTATCATCCATCTTCACATTGATCTTCAACAGATCCCTGGAGCTATGTGTAGTCCCCTCCTGCTTCAAATGTTCCACCATCATCCCTGTACCCAAGAAACCAAAAATCACAGGACTTAATGACTACAGACCTGTTGCTTTAACATCTGTGGTCATGAAGGCATTTGAGAGACTGGTGTTGGCCTACTTGAAGGACATTACTGGACCCTTGCTGGACCCCCTGCAGTTTGCTTACCGAGCAAACAGGTCTGTGGATGATGCAGTCAATATGGGATTGCACTACATCCTCCAACATCTGGACAAACCAGGGACTTATGCAAGGATCTTGTTTGTGGACTTCAGCTCCGCTTTCAACAGGGTTGTGTTCTCTCCCCACTGCTCTTCTCCCTCTTCTCCCTCTACTGCACCTTTAAAGACCCCTCTGTCAAGCTCCTGAAGTTTGCAGACGACACCACAGTCATCACAGTCATCCAGGACGGCGACGAGTCTGCTTACAGACAGGAGGTTGAGCAGCTGGCTGTCTGGTGCAGTCACAACAACCTGGAGCTGAACACGCTCAAAACTGTAGAGATGATAGTAGACTTCAGGAGAATCCCCCCTGCTCTCCCCCCACTCACCATCATGGACAGCACTGTGACTGCAGTGGAGTCATTCAGGTTCCTGGGCACAACCATCTCTCAGGACCTGAAGTGGGACACTCACATTGACTCCATTGTGAAAAAGGCCCAGCAGAGGTTGTACTTCCTTCGTCAACTGAAAAAGTTCAACCTGCCACAGGCGCATATGACACAGTTTTACTC